CGATTTTAAACCGTTATTCGGTGCCCATCGCTTCGAAGCGAGCGGCCCACATCCCTTACTTCTACAAAACTCGGTAACAGTAATGACAGTGAGAATACCCAAGGCAACCAAGCTCACAAGAACCCAGAATCAGCCGCGCGAGGTCATTTCCTCTCTTTTCTCCTTCAACCCCACTCCTGTTTCTGCCGTCGAGCCACCGAAGCCAGAAGGAGCTGAGCCCGCCAAGCCCTCCAACGCACCCCTCATCGACGGAATTGATACATTCACCTCGTTGGGACTATCCCAAACGCTCGCAGCGCATCTAATGACAAAACTTGAACTTAAAGCACCGACGGCTGTTCAGAAAAGAGCCATATCTCAATTGCTGAAGGAAGAGTGCGATGCGTTCATACAAGCCCAAACCGGGTCGGGGAAAACCCTAGCATATCTACTTCCATTGGTTCAGCGGCTGATTAATTTGTCAAGAACCAACGGGGAGGCTTTCGAGCGGGCGAACCAAGACTCATCAGATAACACTGCTGTGCACAGAGACTCGGGACTTTTTGCGATCATCCTTGCCCCTACGAGAGAATTATGCAAGCAAATATTCGTTGTGCTGGAGCAATTGTTGCGGTGTGCGCATTGGATAGTTGCGGGTACGGTTATTGGTGGAGAGAAGAAGAAGTCTGAAAAGGCAAGGTTGAGGAAGGGGTTGAATATTCTCGTTGCTACGCCTGGTCGGTTGGCTGACCATTTGGAAAATACAAAGGTGCTGGATGTGAGTAATGTTAGGTGGTTGGTCCTTGATGAAGGAGATAGGCTTATGGATTTGGGTTTTGAAGAGGAGATTCAAAAGATTGTGAGGAAGTTGGATGAGAGGCAAAGATCAAAGGGAATCCCTGGTCTGCCAACCAAGAGAGTTACAATATTGTGCTCCGCAACTTTGAAAATGAATGTGCAGCGGTTGGGGGATATCAGTCTAAAAGACGCTGTGCATATCCAGGCTGACCCGGATGACGAAGATGGAGAAATGAAAGTGAAAACTACTGGTAGTAACTCTGAGTTTTCGGTACCTGCACAACTTAAACAATCCTACGCTGTGGTTGCTGCCAAGTTACGACTTGTTACTCTCACGGCGTTGATGAAACGGACATTTTCCAGGAAAGGTTCTGTTATGAAAACAATAATTTTCGTTTCTTGTGCGGATTCGGTGGATTTCCATTTCGAGGTTTTCTCCAGGCAAAATTCTGACAACAAAAGTGGAGAGAAAGAGGCCAAAACTACTGAAGCTTCACCACCCAACACCAAACCAGCATCTATCCATGGCACAATTGCGAAATCAACAGCTTTTTCGAACCCTACCAATCCAGTTACAATATATAAACTTCATGGTTCACTTCCTCAACATATCAGAACTTCAACTCTCTCTGCTTTCTCCCGACAAAGTGAAGCAGCTGTTCTCATCTGCACTGATGTTGCGGCTCGCGGCCTTGACCTGCCAAACGTCGATTTCGTAGTCGAGTACGACCCCGCCTTCAGTTCAGATGATCATCTCCACCGAATAGGCCGAACCGCAAGATTGGGACGCGACGGCAGAACCCACATATTCCTCCTTCCCGGCAACGAAGAGAAATACGTCGAAATTCTAAAACAGGGTTATCGAGACAGCGGCGCTAAGATTTCCCACACGGATGTGAACGAGACGTTGAAACGTGGCTTTGGTGGAAACACTGAAACGACGAGTAAGGGCTGGGAAGACAAAGCAACAGAATGGCAGCTTGACGTCGAGCGCTGGGCGCTTGAGAACCCGACCGTCCTCGAGATGGCCAGACGAGCGTACCAGTCTCATATCCGTGCTTATGCGACACATATTGCCAGTGAACGGGACATGTTTAACATCAAGGATCTCCATTTAGGCCACTTGGCGAAGAGCTTTGCGCTGCGCGATAGACCCGCTAAGATCAATGTGCCTGGTCTTCGACCTGGTAAAGAAGATACAAAGAGGGAATTCAAGGCTGACAGGAAGGGCGCTAGGGATGGCGTGCAAGTCAACAACGCCACAAGCGCCTCTGATGCGGTACGCAAAATGCGGGAGAAAGTGAAGGAACATATGGCAGGCGCGAATGAATTTAATATCGCGTAGAATAATGGCTAAGGTTGGTTGCTAGCGTTAGTACCGAAGTTCATTTTTTCATATCATAATATGAGGGTAGAAGAAAAAATTAATAACTTGCATGAAATCAATAAATATCCCACAACGATATCTTCCCGTCTTTCGATCCGGCCGCAAGCCAATGTGTAAATTGTGCCTTGCGGCTTCGTTGCTCTTTTATTTCCGCTAGCGATCTGGGCTGATGGGCAAGGTTAACCGCTATGTTCTCCGTTTTTGTATGTGCATCGACAGCACTGTCAGCCCCCGTCTTCATGTTACCTGTATGGATGATGGCATTCCTTTCCAAAGCAGCATTATTATTTTCGCCGTTTTTATTCGGGCTCGCAATATCTGCAAACGCAACCGCATAACAGCCGCCATGGTGCCACTTCAAAACCGCCAACTCCCGCATACTTTTGCACGAGTAGACCCGAATCCTCCCATCCCACCCGGCCGTAGCAAATATTTTCGCATCATTGCGTATTCGTAGACTTTGTTGACCTGCATGTTTCGTGTTCAAAACTTTGAGTGGCGAATGCATGCTTTCTGAAGTCGGCTCATATGCTGAATTAGAAGTGGTAGCGATGGGATGTTTAGCAAGAATTGCGTCCGCGGAGGATGATAAGAAGAAACGATCTTTTTGTTTCTCCAAGGGGAAGAGAGAGAGGGAAAGAACTGGTTGAGAATGTGAATGGTTGATATATAGTCTTTCCCATCTCCATGATGGCCAATCACTGCTTCCTTTTTCTACAGCATCTGGTGACCTTTCCCTATGTATCATAACCCGGCCATCTTCATAGCCAGATAAGAGACATAAATTCCCTTGGGGCGTTCTGAAAAGCTCAAGAGCCATGACCATTCCCGTGTTTATTGATGGATCGGGAGATATTGTCGATACGCGCTTTTCGGACGGTAAGTGGAAAATATCTATCCCGCCAGAATTAAGGGCATTGGGCACGGCGAGAAAGAAAATATGTGGCGTATTCGAACTTCCCATTTCTGGAAACCCAGTATCTTCTGTACTGGGACTTATCTGAGAACTGCGAGGTAGGTTATCTGACGTCAAGTTTTCATCTGGGAATATGCGACATAGTGCAAATGCACAAAAATTCAACGCATTCACGGATATCGAATGAAACAACCAAGGTTCATTTAGTTTGTGAGCACTCTTTGACTCATCAACGGGTAATTCTTTGCCCAATCCTTCTTCATCAGCGAAATTTAAACGCCAAACTCGGAGCTTATGATCTCGGCCATGTCTATTCGTACCATGTCAGAATTGTAGAGCAAAATATTTCAAAAGTCTAATCTTGAACAATGTATAATAGTAATATAGAGCATATATTCAAAAAACACAAGGTGGAGTAATATGAGTAACATACGTAAATAGCCATCTTTCACTTCCACCTCCTTCTCCCGCCCCTTTTGCATCCTGCTTTGAGCTGAACTCAACTCCTTCAACCCCAAGTATAGCAGACCCATGGGCTCTCCACGAAGCAACAACTCGTTTCGTCCTCATATTCCACACTACTACCCAGCCTTCCGCATCGCCAGAGACAAGTCTTGAGTTCCCGCTATAGAAACGAAGGGCGTGGATTGGCGACCCATGGCCGCGCAAAATGTACGTTGGAGTTGCAGGCGGCAGTTTTCCCGTTGTCTGCTCGGTCTCACGTAGAACAGACAATGGGTTTGAGGTTGCTGGAGGTGTTGTCATGCTGAGTTTGCAATAAATATCAGAATAACTGATAATTTCATCTTATGACGTTGTGAACATTTCTCAACATTTTTCGTTCTGGGCATGATCTTATCTTATCAGATTACCATCCGAGGTTGAAATAACCATTTAAACCGCTAAATCGGTTTAGGGAAACCCATCCTTGGGCAAAAAACCCCCGCAGATCTGTGGACGTTTCCCGAGGTCCAGTTATCTTCGAAGAGATGCTTATTCTGTCCATCCATAGTGATTGAGAATCAGTTATCTGATATATACGGTATGGCTTAATCGAAGTGTGGTGTCATTGACAGTTCTTAGCTGCTATCGTCTTGAACAATAAAGCCCTGTACTCACAACAGGCTTATCTGATCCCGGATGCGATTTTTACACACAGACCTCAGTATATTCGACCAGCTCTCAATCTATCTGTTTTGTGGAATTCGGCTTCTTCGTTATTGCCTCATACATACACCGCTACCTATTGCCCTAGGATACATCACACGTATATTAACATGGTTTCTCACCAACATGTCCATCCTCCCTCATCCAAAGCCCCTTGGCGGCCCCTCTTCCAATGCCACATATCAATTCTCACTTCCCCCGAGTTTTCTTTAGCTACTGTCTATAGAAATAGTAGCGGCTCCGCCCACCCTCGCGTGCGCACGTGCGTATTTCGTGGATTTTGGACCGAACTTGATTTGCGAGAGACGGCTAAGGAACTTCTCCTAAAAGACGAGGAAAGTAATAGGGGTGGGATAAATCCCAACGTATTCGAAAGTGACTTGTTGACATTTACAACTGATATCAGAATGGAAAAAATTGCTCAAATGGCTTCCACTGACGGAACCGATTGCGGAATCGGAGCTAGCGGCGGAGGCCCGATTGAAGCTGTCTTTTGGGTCAAAGATGCTATGACGCAGTGGAGGATTAAGGGCAGGGCATTTGTTATTGGAAATGAAAGCTGTGAAGCAAGCGAATTGTGGTCGCGAGAGAATATTCAGCGATGGGTACGACGTAGAGAAGGCAGCGCGGAAGAGGATATAACGAGATGGACTTGGGAAAAGGAGATTACGGCTAATTTTGCGAATCTGAGCCCCACGATGAGAGGTGAGTGTCATGCGTGAGAATGTTTCTTTCTCATGCCTCTTCTTATTTCTACTTCATTTCCTACGTTATTTCCATGAGTTACATACAACCAATTGTTTGTTCTGCATGCAACATGCCTGATTACTGGAGTGATTACCCATTCCTTTACATATCTAGCCAGCCAAAAATGAAAGAGAGAAAACATTCCTTTTCACCCAGATGCTTAATCTAACTACCCTTGTTACCTCTCCTTTTTTCGCAAATGGACAATGCGTATGGGCAAACAATTAACCTCGCACCATATCAATGAATCATCATTCTAAAAAAAAAAAAAAAAAAAAAAAAAATAGGCTCTTTCAAAAACCCACCTCCTGGAACACCGAGATCGGAGCCACCAAGTGATCCTTCGCTCAAGCTTGGCCTAACATTGGATGACATTCACGATCCCGTGGCAAGGGCAAATTTCCGTGTTGTTGTCATTATCCCTGAAGAGGTTGAGAGTGTCGATTTGACATATCCTGAAAATTTCAAGAGGATGAGGTGGACTCTAGCCAAACGCATTGAGAAAAATGAAGACTCTGGCGAAGCTGGCATCGCCATTTGGGAAGCGACTGAACTTTGGCCCTGATAAGAGATGACTATTCTTCATGTGATATAAGCATGAAGAGAAACACTCATATTGTCCGGAGGGTATAGAGAGGGGGAGATGGACTGTGAGAAAGATAATAATTCCGGGTTGCGACATCCACTCTTCACCTCTGTTTACGTCCAAGCATGGTTACAGATACCAAGCCATCCATTCAGCAAAAAAAGGTCTTTCCTATCATGAGTCCGGAGTAATATTTCTTTGTGTGGATACGACAAATAGCCTAGCATTGTGTCCTGTCATACCCTTCTCATCTATGGAGCCTTAAAAACTTCACTGACATGATCAATTATGATGCTTCTAGAAGTGTATCGTGGCTACTTTCCAGGCGCTGTTCTACTCACAAAATCCGTAACTCATCGTCTGATATCGAAAGAGGCCAGACCCGTTTTGGTCATATTCCTTTCTTTCTTTACCACCCAGCAAAACAAGCCCTAACCTACAATCAAATACAATACGAACTCATTTTGGCCTCTCTTTCCCAACTACAAGCCATATCCCTCCGACAAAGCCTTTCTCCTTACCTTTTACGCGCATTTGCAAACCTGCATCTGGCTTCTTTCATACACGATAGCTTACGGAATTAGACATCGTGCGTCGGCTTGCAGCCCGGCACGCAGTCATGTCCCTCTCACACTACCACCAGAGGCCAGCAGTCTCAAAACTAGGACAATCCAGACCTATTTCAAGACCAGTAGCCATTTCTCTCCTGAGCTACTTCCGTTCTTCTTACCAAACGCCGTGGGGATAACCAATATCTACCATATCATGGTAAACCCTTAGAAAAGGCAGTATCCCCCATTCTCGTTCCCTCATTCGACCCACCATTACACGTACAAATATTATCATAAAATACCTTTTTCCTCAGCCTTCTTCCCCCCCCGCCCCCATACGCCTTCAAGAAGCTGTTCACAATTATCAGAAACCAAAACATGTGGAGTTGCAGTGATACCGAACCGGAAGAAGACGACACCATGGCCCGTCGATGCTCATATTGCGGGCGTTTCGGTAACCCTGAGAGCATTAACGAGGAGACTGGCCTCTGCCACAAATGCCATAAAGACATACAGCCTTCATCAAAGAGTGGTGTTGCTTCTCTTGCTGGCAAGAGCGGTGAAGGCCCAAGCAAGGTAGCCGCAGCAGTCATGTTGCAAATGGCAGCGGTAGATGTCAGTGACGATTCAAACTCCGCTGGAAGTATCACCTCCATTCACTCTGATCAGGACCACGATGATGAGGATAATTCCTGTGTCGACAGAAATGGAGATGGAAACGAGAGCGAAAATACGAAGCCCAATAGCCAGAAGCTCAGGAGCCGTGGTAGTAGCAATGTGTCTAGCAACCGGGAGATAGAATCTGAACTATGTGCGCGATGCTGGAAAAATCCATCAACAACCATCCTGTACAATACACCTATATGCGGCGAATGCTATCAGATTGCGCAGGAGAAGCGGGTAAGAATATTCATCTGCAGTCTGCATTGCCATATCCATTCAAAGAGCTAACACAGCTCCCAATTCCAATACACAAAGGAACACACCAAAGGGACAAAGGTGAGAACTGAACAAATTTCGAAAAGTTTCAACATGAGCACTGTTGCCTTTTCTATTTTTCATTCCCCTTTTCCCTGCTCCTATGCTCCACAATCTTGATTGTCATGAGGAGAAGAGGAGCGGAGCCTCCCCGAACCAACAGGTAGCGAAAAGAGGGCTAAGGCGGTTTTCCAACAACCAGAAACGTTTCCAACCACCGACCCCTGACCTCCAGCCCGGAAAAAGACTGACGAGGGTCTGCGACTCGTGTCGCCGGAAGCGAAAGCGGTGCCAGCATCGCCGCGTGGTGGACGAGAACGATCGTAAGTGTAAATAATAGCTATTTCACATATACACATACCCTCAGATTCACAACAAAAAAGAAAAAAGAAAAGAAAAGAACAAGAAAAAAGCAAAAAGCAATAACCGAGGACATTGCTCACACAAAAGCGAAATAAACAGCTGATGCGGACTTCCGAAAGCGGTCGAGGAAGGTACAAACATCGACCGTGACGAACGGCCGTGAGGGGAGGAGTAGAACTAGCTCATCCTCCGTGATCGAAGTCAATGACACGGGTATGTGAGGTCGAAACTCTTTCTCAATAATACCTTATCTAATCCTGTTCTCTAACCACATGCATGTATGTAAATACATATAGTCATTGTGTCGGAAACAGAACAAGACGCCATTGCCGCTCCATGCACCGGTGATACTACCACCATAGGCACAGGCACAGGTACATCCACAAGAACAATCAGCACGTCTTCTGACAAAGGAGCCTCCATGACGACAATAGTCGTGGATTCTTCTCTCACTGCCTCAGCCGTGGATAGCAAAGGATGTTCCACCAGTAACCTGCAGCGGGCGGTCGAGGAGTCTGTTCACGTCGTGTTCTCTAGGGAGATGGATAGACTGGTGGGAGCGGCGGAGGAGAAACTGTCAGACGCTGCCGTCGCGCTTGACGATATCAAGGAGCATATGACAGCGTGGTTGGAGCGAGTAAACGAGGGTATATAGCATCCTTACTCTTATTCCCCCCTTCGTGTTTCATTCCGTAAAGAGTGTTAGTAGAGATGTATGACGAGAAATGCTGATCGCGTTTTCTTTTTTGAGGTTAGATCGGGGCAGATCCCGGTTGGCAAAGGAGGAAAAAAGGGACTGAAGCAGGGGCTTGCTTTTTCATTTTGGCTTTGCGTTAGGCTTGTTCGGTTGGTTCATGACTGGTGATTCAGGAGTGATGAATCCACCATGAATGAGAAGTTCTTTCTATCTTTCTCTCACCCTCTCTTTTTTATTTTTTGTTTATTTATAGTTTGAACCCCCTATGATTGTCAAGTTCAAGAAAAATACACGTAAATAGCCCCTTGTTTTGCGTCTCCAGAGATGAAATAGTGCTTTTCTTCATCTGTGCCAGGTCCCAGCCCTGCCAAAGCGGATAATTTTCTCATAAGATGAAGCGATAGGCCAACGGAGAATAGATTTCCTTGTAGGGTCCGGGCGGGTTATAACTACTTAAACTCCTCGCTGCGTCCTTCTGTCCTCGTTACAAGCACACCAGATAATTTGTCCGGAACAACTTCTTCTCCAGGGGCCCGGTCCACAGGCACAGGACAAAGCTCCCCCGCATCAAAAAAGGAAAGCCCGTATCCTAACAACACAAGAGTCCTTCAAAATTAACGTTTATCAGGAATGGTAAAAAACCGGCCTGGTCCACATCGGAACTGTGGCATATGTTAGCAGCGACACATAGGCCGCAACGCTTACCTTTGCTCCAGGGGCCAAGTTCGCGCCATCTCTGCACAACGGGGTGGGGGCCCCTAACGTCGGTTGAGCGAGATCGATTCCTATGCCTCTTAATCGTCCTTCAGCTTATTTTTTCGACGAAGAATTTGATCACCCAGGATAATGGCCCTGTCGTCATTGCAATGATGGTGTTCCTGTTGCTGCAGTTGGCGAACACACACATATGTAAGTGTATACTAGACATAGCATGGAGAAAAACACCATCCAAAATGCCCCGACATATTAGAGCCGGTGCCATTTTAGCTATATAAGAGAAGAAAACCGGCGTCCTTGCCTTTTTTACCCACATGTATATTTCCCTCCTACTTCCACAACACGGCGATGTGGGAACGGATTGGGAATAGCGTCGTTCTTCGGTAGCTTTCGCTGGGTGACCTGCGACTGTCCACGACAGCGAGAAACAAGAGCGAGGCGAAATGGACGGGAAATATAGATAGATATATGTATCTATACATAAGATGTACGCTCCCGCAGTCAGTTTGGTTCTTTTTGGATTTTTCGAATAGAAAAAACTAGGAGAAGTTCCAGGGATCGATCCCATCATCCTTTATACGGAGTACATAGTTACAAAATAGGGACCATTATACAAGGGACATGCCAGCCTTAGTGAGATTGAGATGAGTCTTCAACCTCTCCAAAACCGTGCGGCCGAGGGCTCGATATGGCAGCACGCTGCTCTGCGTTGCGGAAGTCCTAAACCCGGCACAGCTGTTTTTCGCTGGATCGCAGCAACCCAGGCCATCCCCGGGTGCGGTAGATGCCAGAGCACTGAAGACAGGAAAGGACCCGATTGCCGGGGGAGGATGAATTGGATGGATAGATACATAACTCCAGTCGAGCGTGGGATAGGAATCGAATTGAGAGATCCCCGGAACTTTTCTCTTTTCTTTGGTGGGAGAGCATGGAAGTCTGCGGTGTGATATATACATAGACATGCGTAGGTAGGTATAAATTCACAGAAGGGATTGACGTAGGGAGGAGTATATAAACCAGCCTCAGCTTGATCAAAATCATCTGCTTTTTGGTGCTTATATGTAAACGTATATGTATTAATTCCCTTTACTCTCTTTGTAAACCAAAAGAGTTTAGTTTATATATGAGAGGAAGCATTGAATTGGCTAATGGATCGGGGATAGAAGTTAAAATAGGTACAGAAGAAAGCCCCAGATAACAATACAACTGAGAAAAAGAAGCCGGTCTATGAGCTACATGTAGCGGCTCAATGACCAAGATACCGATCTTTGTTTCCCCTTGGATCCTCTTGTTAAAGATATTTAACAAGAGTCAATTATTTAAAGCCAACGGTTAAGCAAAATGATAGAACGTAAACAGAGAGTGAAAATGCATCTCCTTCAAGGAGAAGAGGCCATCAGAAGACTTCAGCGAATATCACACAAGTCGTAGTGAAGCCGGTAAGGTATGATCCTTGTTATTTTCGTTTTCTTTTTTTCTTTCCCCCTCTTTTGATTACTTCTATCAAAGGAAATAGCAGTAACGGGCTCATCCGGTCAGCCATGGATGAAAAGCAAGATGATACACCATCCGTGAGACAAGAGAATCCAGCCGGTAGAAATTTTGTATGTAAACCACATGGATCCCTAGGAGCACTTCCACAGGTCAACAGCACCACGTTGTTCCAGCTCGCATTTGAGTAGTCTTATGCAGTCAATAGGGAGTGCATAGCTATTGTACCGTACCTACATGAGCGGCCTGTACAATGGACAGCCCTTTGCCGTCACGTTGAGAAACGACAGATGGCGTGGTGATGCAAAACGCAACCGGTAATCATGCTCTACACGGTAAGATGTAATATGCGATTGCGCGTACCCTTGAGGTCGGCATATATCACGAGCGAGCATGCATGTCTTCTTGGTAGGGTTGAGAATGGTTGGAAGGAGGGACGGATTTTGATGTGATAATCTTTCAACTCTTCTCATGGCTAGTTACAAGTATTGCAAAGAGCGGATCCCCTTCCCCACTTTCGCCTTATTCCCCTGACGCATACGTGAGGGAAGGGGCAGAATGAAAGATATCATTTCAAACGTCATCTTTTAAGATCCCAGACGTCCGTCCGGCATTCAATTCGAGGACGGCGGGTTACAAGCAATTTTTTCGAATGTGAGATACAAAAAGTGGAATAAAGTGATAATGAGCATGAATGAAACGTTGCAACAGCAGGATTCATTTCGGTATGCATGGACTCCGAGCTTCTCACACAAGGATAGCGAGTTTGGCATAGCCTCCGTGAAAAGGGGAAGGGAGGTAGGCGAAGCATGGCTTTGCCCAGGTAAATAAGAGCAATAATATAGCGATCAATCCCTAAGATGGAGGGTCAAGTTCGTCGAATTCTCCGTAGTATATTTGAAATCATGAGGGATGCCAGTGTTGGGTTAGCTCCCCCTATGAATAACCCACAAATTACCAACTTCAAATGCCAACAAATTTCAAGGATAGCTTCTCTTTCTGTTCGAGAAGGACCAGGGACAAGACAGCAGACGACGACTACGACGACCGGCATCTTGATATGATTATTTTTCCTCGGCATCTGCCATCATCGCCCTGGCAGTTAGTTGCATCGTAGCTTTGTTTCGTCTTCGTCTTCCTCAACCCTTGCCCTGCCGGAGTCCCATGGGTGTATGATACGATCAGTAGCACTGCTTGCTTATAGTTACCACGAGGCAGCCCCAGCAGCTACGAAATACAGTACGACCTCAAGCAAGAACTCCTTGTCGAGTTTCTT